TACACTTATAGCATTGATAATAATTTTACAGCAAATATTCATTCATTAGTCAGCCAGGCCACATTTTTTGTTCAACTTTTCGCATGATGTTGGGTACAATAAAATATGTGGCCTAACCAACTAATGTCCTTTAAGTCACATGCTTAATCCTTTTTTGGACACACCTTATATTACCTTTTTTTTTATTTTGTTGATGTCGATAACATATAACTTCACATGTGCTTTCTCAGAATAATAGCTAATCTTCAACATTGAAACCTATATATGCATGGCAAGACATCTCACAATGTGACACATGTAAGATCTGGTTTCAGTAAAAGGAAGTACAGAGTAATTAATAGTGGATCAGGTTCAACATAAAATAAAGGCCCTGGAGAATATTTACTTATATGCTTACTTCATATAAAACACCTTACTAATTAATGTTCAAAATATTTTGATTAGTAGTAATAAATTATAACTGTCATCCTACTCTTTAAAGTTACTAATCATAATATTGCTAATGTAAACAAAGTCTGAAATTGTCAACTTGGTACGAACAAAATTGCAAGACTTCATTTTTACTGAAATGAAGACTTGAAATAGGTAAATAGACACCAATTTCTGGGAAAACATCCTAAGACTCACTAATACAGATTCTATGTCTGTGTGGGTTTTAATTTCATGGACCAAGACTGCTGATCTCATCCACACATATAAAGGTGAAATACAGGAGACTTAATGGGTTTTTTCTTATTCAATAAAGTGTCAGTTGTATAGCAATTGATATTGGATCCATTTTAAAACATACATTAAAAAAAAGATTGTAGGGTAGGACTTGTTAATCTTTGAAGAGAAGTTTCATGATTTGTGGGTTTATAGAATGGAATTAATAGAAAAAGGTGAGCAATAATTCGTCCTCATTCCATGTTAATAAATAAAAATATTGAGCATACATGTGCAAGTTGGTCAAATAAGAACAAACTGTTTTCTCATATATAAACATTTTACATTTTGTTGCTTATGTTTTGGAAATAACAAAGAGCACCACCTCTGAAAGCATTGAAAATTTGACAGAATAATATTATGCTATTAATAGGAATATAACATAATACTTGGAAACACTGTTGTAGAAATTCCTTTTATTTATTTCAAGCATATTAACCCCAGAATTATGATGGGTCCATTACTTTGTTGATTACAAAGTTCTCAATAATATAACAGTCACACACACACACACACAAAAAGTTTAAACACAGATACCATCAATACTGTACATATTGCTGTATATACTCGTGTATAGGTCGAGAACTACATTTAAGTAAGAAACAGAGGCACTTTACAGATACCCCATGTATAAGTCGAGGGGATAGTTTAAAGGTAAACCATGGCTATTGAATAAATTTTTTATTTTAATTTTGGTTACATTTATTCCCCCAAAAATCGTGGTTACTTCTGCATACTTTCATTCAGCTTAAGTCTACCATATTTGTTTCATTTTGAGAATATATATAGACTCACCTAGGGCTCCACTCCTAAACTCTCCTTTGTTATGTTTTAAAGAAAGGGAAAAAATTAAATTATGGATTTTGGACTTTTAAAAAAATTATTCCTTTCTCCAACCAACCAAAGGAAATATTCATAGGTTGTGTTATGGTAAACATAGAATTACTTAGACAGCCTCAGGGCACTTTGACTTAAAATTAAAAAAAAGTTTAATAAAAAAAATTTCATGGATTTTGTACCCTACATACAAGTCAAGGGAAAAAGTTGTTGAGCAAAAACCATTGTATAAATGTTAGACTTCTACACAGGTATATATGGTAATCCACATTAATTGTTTCAAGGGTTTACTCCGTATTTTACACAGAAAATTAGTAAATGTACCCAATTTTTGGGTCAGTTCTCTAACCTATATTTTGTAACATGCAAACCTATAAAATGCTCAATATGGTGCAATAAGTATGGAGCTCACAATCAAATAATAGGAAAAAATCTAGTCAGTAATTTGAGGGTTAAATACCACTCACCTTATTGCTTTTATAATTAGGAATGAGTGATCAGAAGTTGTGTGTTGTCCTTTACTCACTGAAGCTAGTTTCTCCAGTGGTAGTTCAAATGATATATTAGGTTATACATATATATATATATATATATCGTAACATTTAGTAATTGTATAGCTATGTCCCTGTTTCTCATAGTGGTTGAAAACTCTTTGATGTACAATGTTACTTCCCTCTTTGGTATGCAGGCAGATAACGTATTTTCTACCTTCTTCTTTTGATGTAGAATTTTGCAATTTTCACATAACATGTTGTAAAGAAAGTCATCAAGTTGTTATATCTAGTTACTTATGTGGTAAAAAAAGTCATCAAGTTGTTATATATCTAGCTACTCATGTGGTAAAGAAAGTCAACAAGTTGCTATATCTCTAGCTACTTATTGTTTTGTGTCATCCCACTGAGATAACTCATGGTCTGCCCACAGGAAGCAGACATAGCTGTCAAGCTGCATCTTGTATATGAAAGAAGATTGCTGTTTTCTCCATGCAGTGATAGGTTAGGTGATATGTCGAGGTTATACAACCTTCCTTATTTTCTGATGCGGATGACTAGTTATGTAGGTAGCAATATTCATTTAGAAAAAAAAGGTATGATAAAACAGAATTATATAAAGTGATGCTCTCTCAGACTGAGACAGAATGCAAGTTTTGGAGTATTTACCAACTTGGCAGTTTTTCAACTTACACAGTTATCTAGTAAAGGCAAACATCCTTTGTGCTAACACACACACACACACTGTTGTCTTGTATTATTACGTAAAACTTGTGTCCAGTCTCTTTCTTTGCACAAAAGTAGTCTTGGAGAAATTCAGACTTTCTTTGTAACATTTCCTAGTCGAATATCACATATATATAGCAAATCAGTTTTACCTGAAAATATCATACTGTGAGATAGCAAATTCCAATTTTTTCTTTCGTTATGATTATGGTTGTGATCATTTATTATTTCCTTCTGTCATTTAGTTTATCTATGAATTTTTATTTGCATTAAAATGCTAACTCATCTTCTACATAATCATTTGTATTTTGAGTAAATATATAACATGTGTATGATGAAACTGATACCAGCTTCCCTAGCAGTAATATACAGATACTGTTAATGTAACAGAAGAATATGTACTCTCATGACCTACTCTGTGAATAAATACCCTGCCAAAAGCTTCACTGAGAGAGAGTCCTGAGATACTTATGGAAGGGTATAGTTATTGCTGTTTGTCACTCATTATTGTTATTGATACTGAAAGGTATTGTTTAAATACTGTAATTGTTTTTTCTTTGGAACTAGGTATTTCTTTCTGGTTCTTTTTCCTGGTTCCATTGTTATTGATTTATTAATATTGGTGTGAAGTCCTGGCCAAGCATTTTTTTATTAACTGTGTTCAATTTATTTTTAAATGTTGTTATTGTGAATAAATTGTATGTTTGTTGTTGTGACCTGTTCATTTTAGACCATTACAATACATCTTGATACTCATATCAAGACTCCATGTACTGGCAAATTTTTATTAAATGCAATTGTTATGATTATTGTCATTAGCTAGTTTAAATACAGAAGCCTAAGTTTTAATAATAAAATCAAATATAAGCCATGTTTTTCAGATTTACTGGATAATAATATCATTTTGTTATCTAAAATAACTTTTAATGAACTTGTGTTCATCAAACTAAAAACTGCTATTGCAGATAGGGATATCACCGATGGTCTGGAAAGCTAAAATCATCAAGTTTCACATCACAGATAAAGATCCTCCACAATAAAGAAACCTTAATCTACAAAGAAGACAACAAAACCTCCCAAGCCGTGAAAAGGGTTTCCTTACCAAGATTGAAAAATCTATTCCAACAGTGAACCTCAGTTTTCTCCCCTTCCTTATCTTTTGCACTTTGCTCTCTAGTTTCTCTTTAGTCTTATTGACACTCCCCACCTCTCTACCTAACAGTGTAAACTCTATCCTCGTACTGCCAACTACCTACCCTACCCTTATATCTCTCAAATAAACCTCTGGGGCAAATGAAGAGAGCTCTCAATCCCTGAACATTCTTGGAGGAAATCCTTCATCCCAAAATTTCTGTTTCTGATTTATACTTAAAGTTTACACAGATTGGCAAATTGTTATGCAAGATTCTTTACAATTCACATTCAAAATTTTTCCATTCTGTGTGTTTTCGTAATTTAATCATTTAACTGAATTCTAGAATGAACTGGAGCTTGTGCAGGCTAAACCAACCTTACTTAGTTCACTAAGTACTGTTATGCCCTTTAAGCAACTAATGTCATGTATATTTTGGAAAGTCATCTCTCAAAATAACTCAAAATGATCACTGGTAGATTTTTCACTTAACTCAGTTTCACCCTACACTCACATAGAAGGTGAAATATAGGCCTATTGTTTTAGATGAAAACTATGTTATAACACATAACAGAGAATTAGACTTGCAGTATATCATCATTCAGAATTAGATGTTTTTAAAAAAAACCTCTACCTTCTTTAGAATCCTTAGGTTTTCTCTCCTTTGGCTGGTCTGGATTAAAGGTAAAATGAGAAGGAAAGAGCTAGTTAGTAGTAACAGTACAAAAAAAAAAGATACAATGCCACCAAGAACAAGCAAACAAAAATGATAGAAAAACTAAAAATTCCCACCCATGATCAATGAATAAGAAAATACATAGAATAATCCAAATATTGTAGATTCCAAGACTTGAGTATCTTTGAATTGGATAAATTTACAAGGAATTTCTTATATATATATATATATATACACACACACACACACACAATATTATAATCCTGTTGCAATTTATAATAATCTTATTATTTTAAACTATTTCATAGATCACAGGTATCACATAAATGTAAATACTGTACTAAGTAATTACATAATTACAAATGGTAATGCTTAATCCAAGAGTAACCATAATTATTACTTTTAGAGGATTAAATATCAAAATTACAATTAAACTTAGTTAGTTCTAATGATATTTTAATACAGATTAAAGATTTAAATTAATAAAACTAATTAACTTAAATACTTCAAACTTATTCTTGGTTTTAGAGAAGGCCAGAAGATCTAACAAAAAGCATGTGCCCGGCATGGCCAGGTGGTTAGGGTGCTTGACCGCAATCTTCAGGTTGTGGATTAGAATCCCCAGTGTCCGGACTAGGACACAAGCACTACTCCTGATACACACCTCCAAAAGAATTTGGAGGTGTGAGAAACACCATAAGCAACTAATACAAAAAGCATAAGTAACCAGGTAATAACTGACTCATTATCATTAGTAGTAGTAGTAGGTTAATAAGCTTTTTTAAATTAAGTTCTAACCTCTGAAGTTTTAGTTCTTGATATCTACATACCTTTCTTTAAATACTGATTTCTATAATATTTAACAATAACAACACACCAGTTAAATATCTTGAAGGACATAATTACATTCTAGTTCATCTGCTTTATCTTCCATTTTCAAATGTGTATTGTAGTTTCAGTATTTTGTAGAATAGCACATTTAAAGTTATGCAGCCTCATACAATAAGTACAGCTTTAGAAATTTTCATTTATTTAAGTAAGTGGTTCAAATGACTAACAATAAACAAAGAATTATCAATACATTCCATCAGAAAGCATTTTCCCCTCAATTATAAAGTGAGAGCTTCCAAATGGCATAACTATACCTTCTTCCATACTGGCAGTTCTCTAATTTCACTGTAGTTAATAACCATAAAATATTTACAATCATATTCGATGACGAGGAACCCACTTTGAGACTAATAATGGCTGGAGACGGCTTAAATGGGTAATGAAGAAAAACTTTAATACAAGTTTAACATGACAGCAAATGTATAACGTTTCGACAAGGTTTTGTCGAAGTACCTGATGATGACAAAACCTTGTCGAAACGTTGTACATTTGCTGTCATGTTAAACTTGTATTAAAGTTTTTCTTCATTACCCATTTAAGCCGTCTCCAGCCATTATTTACAATCATGCTGTATCAAAAAACAGCATTTAACAAACTCAGTGAGTTATTAATTAATGTAGAACAGATGAGACCGGATTTGGTACTAACATTTGTAGTTTTGGCATTTAATTTTTTTTGTCAAAATGTTTTAAGATAAACTTAAGATATGAATTTCCTGTTTCACCAACTTTCTTGATCTTCTATAATCTTCTGTCATACTGGTCAATTTAAATTTCTTAAATTTATTATGCTTTTCTTTAATTTTATGTCTTAAACTCTTTGTTAGGCAATCTGGTTTTTTACTTGCAGCTACTTTTTTTCTATAAGGAATATGTTTATTTTGAATATGTAAAATTTATCATTGAAAATTTTCCACATCTGATCAGTGTCTCCAAAAAATTCAACTGCCCAAGTCACAACAGATAATTCTTGTCGCATCCCTTCAAAATTTGTTTTTTGAAATTTGTAACCAAAATATTATTATTCCTTATCTCCATATGCAGCAAAACATCGAACCTAATAGAGAAATGATCACTTGCACCCAGATGTTCCCCAATTTCCACCCTCTCAATCATTTCTGTATTTGAAGTTAACAATAAATCTAAAATAGCAGTTTCTAGTAGGTTCCTTGATTAACTGGTGAAGAAAGCCATCTTGAACAGTTTCCAAAAACCTTTCTCACCCATGGTTTGACTCTAGAATTTCCCAATCTGTATGCCTAAAATTAAAATCACCCATAACTATGGCTTCATTAACAGCTGAAATCTTAATCTCATTACTTCATCAGTATCATCTGGTGGTCTGTAACAAATTCCCACTAAAAGCCTTTTCCCTTTATATCCAATAATAGAAAACCAAATGGATTCAATCTCCTTGCTATTATCTTTGACATCCTCAACTTCAACAGGATGAAATTCACATTTTACATAAAAAGCCACTTTCCCCCCCTCTTTAATATTTTATCCCTATTAAGTAGCCTGTAACCCTGTATTTAAAAGTAATTTCTGTCATCAAAATCATCTATGTTTAACCATGTTTCAGTTATTCTCATTATATCATAATCCTCCATTCCTACCAGTGCTCTAAAGTCATCTATTTTATTTCTTATACTTTTAGTATTACAATAGTAACAATTAAGCCTATCCTTATAAGTACTTTTATACTTCTTTCCTATGCTAAACTTTTCTCTGCCTCTTATTCTTTTTGCATTTAGTTTTTCCTGGCCCTCACCACTGTCTAGTCCTAGTTTAAAACTTCCCCTAAAGCTAAGTTAATAACCTTAGCAAACAAGCTAGCCCCTACTCTATTTAAATGTAAACCATCCATTCCAAAAAGCTCCTTTCTTCCACTGAACTGATGCCACAAATCCAACCAGCCAATTTGCTCATCCTTACATACTAACCTAAGCCTAGCATTTAGCTCTAATGACCTACTTATAATTTCATCCCCACAATTAATTCTGGGCAGTATCCCTGACAAAATTAACTTATGGCATTTTTATTTAAATGCCTTTATCAACCCCTTGTACTTAATGAGTTAGTTCACAAAATATAGTTAGAAAAACTTATTTTAATTATTGCTCGATATTGAGAAGTGGTTTACTTTTGAAACATTTTGTTGATTGCTGGTGAATTAGGTTTTTTTCTTCTTCTGGTTCTTTTTTCTAATTCTTTTGATAATTATTGAAATTTGTGTTATATTGTTTATTAACATTTGTACCTAGTCATAGCCAAGCACGGGTTTATTAATTGTTTTTTTGGAAGTGATAAAATTTGTATTCTAGTTGTTTGAAAGTTTTATTTTAGACTTGCATTGTTGTATTTTGATAAATTGTTTTTCTTTGTACCCTGGTTATAGTAACATTTTGTTCAGTCCATTACAACACAATACTTTGTAAATAAGTTTAAAATACATGTTGTAACTAAACATTTATCCCTGTAATCAAAGTAACCAACAATAGTAAGTTAAAATGTTGATATTTGAGCTATATTTAACTACAAAAAAAAGAACAGTTTATTTAACTGAATATATGAATTAGTGTCAAAATAGTATTAAGTTTAATGTGGAAGAAGAAATGTATTTTACATTACCACTCTTGGGTACTTTGACTACATGGATAAATGGAATGTTTAATTACAATAAGTATCTTAAACTTAGATATAAGGGACTGTACTGTTATATAGATAACCTTATAATTGTTCATTATAAGGTTCATCTTATACATTGTGCTAATGAACTGTCTCAGTCTATTTAACATTTTCATAAGCAGCTATGTCAGATAAAAGGCTGGACATGATCTTGTGGTTAGCATGCTCGGACTGTGAATTCAAGGATTTGAGGTTTGTGGCCCGTTTCTGAAAAAGTATGCTTCACCCTTATGGGCCATGGATACACTATATAAGTGACAGTCAAATCCCACTATTTGGTCAGGCAAGGGTAGCCCAACATTGGATAACTACCTATCTATAGTTCTATAACTTGAAATGAGGGACAACTATGCACAAATAACCATTCATGCAGCTTTGCATCAAAAATTCTGAAACAAACGATCTTCCAAGTGAAAGAAATGCTAGAAATACTACTTTCTTAAGTGGCTCCCCCAAACCCCCCCAAAAATACTACTATTAATGCTTGTGTTACCATACTTAGGATAGCATAGCTTTCATATCAGAAAACAGATTACAGAAATATTACTAAAATATTGCATTGTTTACAAATTTTAATGTGCCATGTGTAACTTGACTTAGATGGGCAGTACATCATGCCACTTAATGGAGAGAATGAAAGAGCACATGTTTAAAGATAGTTCCTAGTGTCTGTTTAAGAATAGTGGTGTATTGATAAGCCATGTCCATTCAGAATCATTACCAGAGACTCTCAAGAAGCCACAGTTGAAGTTGGAAAGAATTGTCTTGTCATTCAAACTGTGTTTATTATTTTCGTGATATTAATAGTGATCTTTAACTAAATTAGAAGAATACACATGTATAGGAAAAACTTCAGGATGAATAAAAGTACTCATTAGCAATTCTAAGTGTTTCATAACTTAATTTCTGGTAGATATTAAGTACCACACAAGATAAAATGATGTAGATTGCAAATGGAAAAACAAATTCTCTAATTTACAATATTATCTCCTCATACTATCAAAAACTTTAGCAAGGAAAGTCAATTCCATAATAATACAAATTTAACCTTTATCAGCCCACACCTAACACACTTTTAGAACAAGGAGATAAACTGTGTAAAGCAATTCAAAAATTAAAATTTAATAGTTATAACAAACATGTTTTTCTGTAATACCACCTAGGATCATGAAGCCCTCAAAACTAAGAAATTTTATAAGGTGTAACATTACACTTACCTAAAAAATCATCTATTGAACTCAATTCCGAAGACAAACCAAAACTGGAAGGGCCTCTAGATGGTAGGATTGGAACTATCACAGAAAGTGGGGAAAGATCCACCACTTTTCGACATTTAAGGTCTATTGAAGTGAAAGACAAAACCAAGTATTTGAACTCCCTACTGCTGGGCTACATGCAAATACTAAATTCCTGGTTTCTAGTCTAGTAACTATTTATGCTATTGCATAACACTTGAAAATAAAACAAACTTCATGCAAACCTTTTTATTTCAATATGATTGTTTTCTTTGATAATTCTATATTGTAAGTAGCAAAATAACTAAATCTTATTTAAATTCACAACAACAAATTTCGTTATATAATTATTTGTATAATAATAAAAATTCTAACCCGTGTACATATATTTTTACAGTATTAAAAACATGAATAACTATTATAATATTGTACCTACCATTCTGGATCTTGTTTTCACATATTTTTTCTATAGAATTTTGACTCTCATGTTCCCAACCTTCTTTAATAACTGAATCCAAATCAGATGCAGAATTGGATGGTGGTGGAGGAGAAAGAGTAGGTGCTACACTAATCACTGGTTTGTTGATGTTCTGCAAATATTCATGGCTATAACATGGAATGCTCTCAAGATCATCAGCAGCACTTCCATAGCTGTGAACTGTTTCAAAATTGTTAATAACACTCAGAGACTCCTGGGTGCTGGGGGTGTATGAAACTGGTCGAGGAGGGACCATGGGTCTAATGAAAGGTGTTACTTCTAAGTTGCTTACTTTACTCATTCTATTAAAGTTGTCCTTTCCCACTGCATTCTTCAGCATTATTTCATTAGCTGAATCTTCCTGCAGGCTATTGTTCTGAGGCCTGTGATGCCGTTTCCACTGATAGAAACGACAACAACAGACAAATATCAGGACTGCAATAACTATGAAAGCAATTACTACAACAATACCAATGATTTCTTCATGTGTGATATTTATGTTCGTAGATGTGACTGAAGTGGTATAGCGAGATTCTGTACACAGAAGTCCTGTCATATTCAGTTGGCAATGGCACTGGAAGCTTCCTCGAAAGTTGATACATGTGGAACCTGCAGCACAAGGGTTAGCCTGACATTCATCAATATCAAATTGACAAAACTTGCCATGGAAACCATGACACTTACAAATAGGTCCAGAAACTCCTTCCTCACATATGCCACCATTTTGGCAAGGATTAGGATTACAATATCGTCCATAACTACATCGCTTGCCAGTGAGACCTGGTGCACACTGACAATGAAAGTTATTGTTTTCATTGTAGCAAGTCCCACCGTACAGACAAGGATTTGAGGCACAAGGGTTACTGTCAAACTCACAGTGAGAACCAGAGAATCGATGCGGGCAATGACAAGAGAAAATGTCTCCCAAATCCTTACATGTTCCACCATTAAGGCAAGGCTGACTTCCACAAACTCCTGGGTCAACCAGAGCTCGACAAAAGAAATCCACCCGAACAAACCTAGAAGATGCATTAGGTTATCTATGTTAAAATATTATTCAGAATTATTTTTGATGTGAAAAATGGGCCACAACACTGTATGCTTATAGGGAAACTTAGAGGATATAAATTTTAATTTTTTTAAAATAAATGTCTACTAAGATAGAGGGCTCCCAACCTTTTTCCAACTGAGTACAAGCTAGTTAAAATTCCAAAATTTATGGACCAATTAATAAAATTATATGCAAAACAATATACTTCATCAGCTATGTTTTAAAACTTTTTTTTTCAATCATCTTATAGACCATCTGAAATCTCCCTCATTAGGAACCACTGAACTCGCACAGTGATTGAAATTATAATATCTATTTTTTGTAATCAGTTTAACCCAAAATAGAAAAAGTAGTAATAAAAAATGCATCATTATAATTATAAAGCTTTTAGTTTTTAACACTAAAAAGCATTCTAACAGACCACTTGGTGATAACAAGCAAGTTTTAAGGAGTTAGAATGTTTTTATATATTTCACTTGATTTTTATTTTCTATCAATAATTTCTTCATACTACAGGAACATAATATACTAATGGTTTTTCAAGTTTTCTCACGCTTTACTGAATTGAATGTAAGTTTCTAGATTAAATGTTTGGGCAAGAATCATCCAACTTCAGAGATTACCTGATTCTAACAGGTGCTACTTTTTAGTTAATATATATAATCGTCCAAATTACCTAGTAATTAATTATTACATTTTAGCTTTCTTCAGTTGTGCATATACATCTATTATAAATTAGCCCTACCTTCGTAAAATGGCAATAGAATTGCTCACTGCTGAATGTAAAGGAAGTAAGACTCCTGCTACATGAATGTCATCCATACATCCAATGAATCCCATTCTCACATCATCCAAAGCTGTTCTATGTACTTCTGCTCCAAAGAAAACATCATTTCCCTCTAAGTTTAGAAGTTCATGAACACCAGGAGCCTTCCCTGTTATTCGATACTGTCTATCAACAACTATTTCGGCTATGTTGTCACGGCGGTCTACTTTTATTTCATGCCACAATCCATCATTCACTTCTATATTTTCTATTCGAATCAAACCTTCTCCACTGCCAAAGTCAAATCGAAACTGAACAAAACCATTTACCACCTGTAGAAGATGGAATGTTTAAATATATGCACATAAAAGTTCAAGATTTACCACATCATTTATTCTATTTAAGACAACATTTTTTTTTCTTCTCTTATTCTCCTGCTTTAAAGTAAATTTTTCCTGGTTACAACACTGGTTAAAACTACTTCTACAGTACTTAACCTCTGAAGCATTCAAACCCATAAAAATTCAAAAACAGTATTATAAATTTGAACACTCTCCTGTCTCTGTTTTACGAACAAACTTAAAAGCAAAATTTGAACTTCAGTATCCTGGGGTCTTATTACACAAACAATCTTCAAGTAAGATATCTACTTTATATTCATCTATATATATAAAAGAGGAAGTTTGTTTATTTGTTTATTTTGTTCGCTATAGGAAACCAAACGGTTGAACTTA